GCGTGGCATGTCGCTACCTGCCCATGATGCTCGGAGCCACGTCTACGGTCCGGCGTCCGAGCCACTCGCCACCGTGACAACCCATAAAACTGTCACCGGTGGAGACAAAATGTCCGTGCCCTGAGCTATGTGAAGACGTGTCTGTAAGTAAATGAGCTCACATGTGTGGATAACTGTGCCTCCAGGTGGACAGACAGCCTTGGACTCAGGTAAGCACTAATGAGTTCACCATCTTCCTTCAGGCCCACTGCCACTCTTATGAGGGAGAAAAATAACCAAAATACACTAAAGATTCTAATCATCCCTCTTGAGGGACAACTGTGTGGAGGCAGACACCCTCAATGTCACTTGAATGCACACACATTTTTATTACTTTTTGAGAATATGACAATAGGCAACTTTTTTACTGTAACAAAAATAAACCGTCTAATTCCTCAAATAACTTCATAAGAAATCTGTTCAACCAATGAAGCAAATAATCCATCAGTATTCGTAAAGGGCTTTTTGCCTCCAAGACTCCCGCGTATCAAATAAATACATAGTACTGCATTTACTGTAAAGCCCTGTTCATACAGTACTGGTATTACCTGGGAACCTCTAGTAATTTGTAATAATTGCGGAAGTCGTCTATGATCTTAATTCCGTGCAAATCTGCCATGTTCTTAATTTGTCATGTAAAAATTCACCCCAAATCATATTAAGCCATACATATATATATATATATATGTATATATATGTATATACATATATATACATATATATACTCACTGTGGCTTTTTTTTCTGCCTCTTCCCCGATCGAGAATCATTGAGGCTGCGTTGGCATTTTCACAGCATTTTGGGTGCAAATTCTGGAGACTCATCTCTACTACAGAGCATCAAGACCCATGCTCATTATATATTTAATATAGATATTGTGTGCTGTGTGAATGTGAAGCACGAATACACAGTTGTGGTGGGGTAATTTCTAAATCATGAGGTCCCCTGGAAGTACTAGTCCTGTGCGAATAGAGCTAATATCACATAATCTTGTAATTCAGCAGCCCTAACCACAATTAACCACCAAAATTAACTTCAGCTTTATTCTCTTGATTGTGTTTACTTTAACGTCCTGCAAGACTTTACTATAAACTCTAAGACTTGTGGGTAAAGTCTGATGTATTGAAAATAACTAGTTTGTAAATTGGGCATTGCTGTAAAAGAGAGTGTATTATATGTATATTGTCACCATGTGGTTATGTGTGTGTATTTACAATATGATACAGTGTAATTTACCATATTCTAATTCCTCTATGTAAATCGTGTATTTAACTGAATCTACTTTGCTGCATAAATCACCGTGCACGAGGCTGGGTTATGTTACAAAAAGGTGGCAGTTATGTTGTTGTTTGAGGATCAAACATACATATTGTAACAAGCAAACTCATCCAAATGTAGATGTTAGCACACACACACACACACACACACACACACACACACACTCTGGTACACACCTACCTTGATGCTGGTCAGAGTGACCATCATAAGGTCGAAGACAGTCATACAGTAGAGCTCCTGAATGCGGAGCAGAGCGATGTGCCACACCTGACTGCCAAGCAGTCACCTTAAACCAAAGACCCTTGCTCAATAGCAAGATGTGGATTGACCTGAATTATCATCCCCATTCTCCCTCTCTCCTGTTGTGGCTTATAGTCTCTCCTTCCCCTCCGACCCCCCTTTCTCCCCACCTGGTATTCAGCGGGCGACCAGACATTCTTGACATTTTGCAAAGGTTGAAAGACAAAGAACCTTTGTCTCCTAATAAGGCCGTGCTCTGCACCCCACCTGAATGAGAATACTTGGAGGGAGAGGGCGGTGTGTGTGTGTGTGTGTGTGTGTTTGCATGTAGGGTGGCGTGTTTGTGTGTGAGGGTGGAGGTGGACGGGGTACATACAGTAGGGATGCAGACTAGAGTGAAAATGCAAATGAGGATTGAGAACGGGTGGTGACAGGAAAAGGAAAGTTTCAGGTAAGAAGAGACACATATAGCGGTGTGTGAATGTGTGTGTGTGTGCATGCAGGTAAGAGGCGTGGGAGGATTTGGGATTGAGAGAAAAGAAAAATGAGCATTGCTATGATCAATCCCCTGTCTGTAGGTTGAGAGTGATAACAGTTAGATTTCAGAGGCTAATGTAAGCTATTGCTGTGAGAAACACGGCGCCGCACCCTGATGCTTCGCCCGCAGTCACACACAGACACTCGGATGTTCTACAAGCGAGCGATATTCTCCGTCGCTGCAGGAGCTTGAAGCGGAACTCAAACCACCCAAGGTCCTTCTGGTCTCTTCTCATCTCTCTCGCTCGTATCCATCACACCCCTCAGTTCTACCTCTCACCTCCCTCACCGCCTCCCTCAATCTCTCTTGCACCTCATTCCTCTGCAGTTCTCTCTGAAAAACTTTCTCCCAAACAGCTGAAGCGAGAGAAAAAGAGTGTTCCAGCGAGTGTAATCGAGGACAGAGGTGCGACGAAAACGGAGATGTTTAAATAGTTAGAGCTTGCCACCTGGTCAAGCACCTTCCAACCTCTTGGTTCAGTCACATCTTGTTTTCCACTCTGCCAGTGTCGCTTTGAGTTATCGCTACTGTAGTCCTTCCACTTACCATACAGCTGTGGCCCCGTGTTATGCAATTTCCCCGCATTGTCTCATTCGCGGTTTCCAAGACCCTCCAATTTTGTGAAGGCACAGACTTAAATGTGAGATCGCAATCATCCTTTTTTTCTGTGTGTTGTTTTAACATTACGTAAGCAAAAGGTAAAAATATCTGGACCTGTCTTTAAAAGCAGATGGTGTGGTTATGACTTCAGGCTCGTTAAAGGCAGTTATAACAAGCAAGAGCCAAGGCCTGTTGTGAAGTCCACAGCCTTAAATCCAGCTTCCTCAACTAACGAGGAGAAGAAATGTGTGTGAAAGATGAGCTATGAAACGGAACGAAATGATGTGCAGCAAAAATCTTTAAATTCTCCTCTCATAGTGTCTTGTCTTTCTCTGTATTCATTTCTATCTTTGCCCCCTCGTCTACTCTCTCTCTCTCTCTCTCTCTCTCTCTCTCTCTCTCTCTCTCTCTC